TGCTGCTCCAGCATTCGGGATCGAGCGATGACCTCCATGACGGCGCCGACTCGCCGCCGCCGCCCGCCAAGCCGTCGCAGTTTCCCAAGGAGAAAAAGGTTCGCGATAACGATGCGCGATGCATGACGCTGATGCAGGTATTTGTAGCTCGACGATGTCGACACGGCCAAGTCGCCCGGCTGTGCAAAGTGCTGCGTCGTCCAGTAGACGTGACGTGTAGCTGCAGCTAGCTTGTAAGACCAACGAAGCGCACCCTTGTTTGGACGAGCCTCCTGTGGCATCGACGGCAAAGACGTTGAGAATACAGGACTCGAAACGTCGTCCTTTGCGTGCCCTGTAGGATGCCTCTGTCAAAACGGTATTGACGACTTGCGTCGCATGTGCATCTTGTCCAGAGGCCGGCGATTCGAGCATTATGAGCGCTCGACTCGAGGCTGTTTAAATCTGGAGCCTTCCGTCCCCGTCGCACCACAAAATGTGTCTCCAAGAATGCTACTAGGCATCGCATTTTTGATCCAGTGGAAGGGGTCATCGTCACTATAACTAGTGTCAACCAATATCGACGACCACGGCGAGCCAATGTGGTCATTTGCTTCGTAACGCTTACAGAGCGTTTTGTATAAGTTGCACGCGTTGTGGGACTGCAGCGGCGACATAGCGTGATCTGCTCTGCTCTATAAAGTGTCTTCTATCACTGTGCCAACTTTAGTTGACTCCATTTCAAATATGATTTCGTCGACAAAGCGGCACCAGCGCTTGGTGCGGCGCCTGCACGATAGCACTACGATCTTATTTCTGGCATTTTCCGCGCATGATGAAAACCAGATTCATATTGACATACCAAGGCCATGACTAGGGCCTCTACACCGCTGAATTCTCGGTCGTCAAGGTACCCGTAAACTTGTTGCCGTAGACGATCGTGGCCGTCGGCTGAATGCCCAGTGGGTTGGGCGTCGAATGCTCTGCAAACCAGTGCGAGACGTTGGTCGTAACGAAGCGGAAGTACTGTCGAAACTGCGTTTCTGCCACCGGAAGGGACTCGTGCGGCGTCCGATCTGTGATCCAGTAGAGCTCATTGGCTTGCGGCTCGTAGTAGCCATCGCGCTCACGGTCCAAGACACCGTGGAGCACATCCACGTCACCGTGGGCACCGACGATGTCGTTTTCATCTGCGACGACCGTGTTCCAGACCTAGTTTAACGCATTTCAATCAGTCATTGTAGCGACAAGACGCAGACTGTGTACCCCGCAGGAATTCGCAACCGTCGACGCCATGTAAATACCACCTTGGAGCTCGTGGTAGATGGTCCAGCCTTGTCCCCAGCGAATCTCTGCCCACTTGTGGTGCGCTTCGCCAGCGCCCAGGTAACGCTGGAGCTTGGCAGCGGACGGCGCTTCGACGTGGAGCCCGGGACGACGTTGAGAGGTGTCGGCCTCGACAATGTCTTCGTGGATTGTAAGGTACCCCACCTTGCCATTCTCGTCGTGGTAGCGACACCGGTTGAGGAGCGGGACATAGCGCTGACACTCGGGCGGCAGCGTCGACTCGGCATGACCAATGATGAAGGGCATCATGTTGACGAGGAATGGTCTTGGTTGCTCGATGCCGTCAACGAGATGCGTCATTGGCGGTGGAAAGTCAACAAATCGGGGAGTGTGCGGGATTGGCGTCTCGCGCGGCGTGTCAAAGGGCAAAAAGACGTTGCCGAGAAGGACGTAGCCGGGCTGGTCCGCCTTGAGTTGCGCCCGCCAGATCGCATGGAGATGGTCGACGATGGCCTTGAGAATGTCGGTCTGGCCTCGTAGTCCATGAAGCGAGCTTCCGTCGTCCAGCGTCCCGAGCAGGAGAAGACGCACGACCGAGTTGTGCCACAGCGAGGTCGGCGCCATCTCGACAACCCTGAAATGATTTCGCTGATCGCATGGCTGAGCAACGTGATTGGTGGGAAATGAGCCAATCGGATGCTCCGATGAGTTGATTTACTTATGGCTTTTCTGCTCGCTTCGCACTGCTAGTATGTGGCGGTGCAGTAGGGGCATACATTCCCTTGCGTAGAATGTACATCCAAAAAGTTCGTGGTGCGTCCTTGGTTTGACAATCAGAGCAATCTTCTTTCGATTGAGAACTGGTCAACAGACTGGATATTCTCGCCGACTGGAAGTCCTCGCCGACTGGAGGTGACACGCCACCGCCATATAAATCTGGTACTAGTGCATGTACGGTAACTCGTCGATCCGGAATTTCTTTCGTGTTGAAGTCGACGCAACTGACGCTTGTCACCGAGACCTCCAAGCAGAAGTAAATCCAGATACGAATGACTGAGGACGTCGATAGTGTACAAATTGGAAGGATTGCAGTCCCATCGTAAGTCTGTAGCTATTTCTGTCGACACCGACGACCAGTGCAGCAACAGGCTAGGAGTGCACCTCGTTCTTGTAGGTGATATTCATCTATCCGTGTCGTTGGAGTGTACGGTCGGCAGTTGCTCGCTTTCGTTGACTTTACTTGGCGTTCGTTGACTTCTGTCAGCAGCACCAGTTTTCTGCCTAGCGTTTTACACTCCATGTATCAATGCCGCAGCGGGATCGCGTGGGCGAATCGACCCGGGGCTTCGGGCGACGCGACGTACAGGAAGCGCCACTTTTTGATATCAAAGACGTAGAAGCCGTGGGCGTGCCATTGGAGCGAGACGAGGCCGGCCATGAGGCCAGACGCCTTGTCAATGTAGTCGAGTCCGTTGTACTTGTGCGTTCGAAGCATGTACTTTCCGGCCGACGAGAGGAAGAGCGACGATGGCGTCGTCGCTCTCTGTCGTGCCGAGACATACGCGACACCAATGCAGCTACAGCACACACACAGCGTGTACCACAGCCGGCGCACCGACCCGAGCTGGACGTAGCCGCTCGAGCATGTGAGCGCTTGATCCATGTGGAGGGCCGAGCACGACCGCCGTAATCGTGCATCATATGTGGCCGGCGAGATGCT